CAAATGTCAGAAATAAATTTTAAAAAATTCTGGTAATGATGCAGTACGAGTCAAAACGAATTCTCAAATTCGTACCGTACCGTACTGGTTCTATTATGCCCAGTACCGGTAGTATTTATAGAGCTTTTGTTATAGAACCAGTACGGTTCGCTGATCTGCAACATCGTACCGTACCGGTTTTCTATCTACCCCTATTCTATTTGTGTGTGTCTATCATTGATAAATACTGAATATAAAATGCGATATGGAAACTGCATCTTTTTTTAAAAAAAATTATAACTTCAATTTATTTTATAAAGTTAAAAAGAGGAAATAATTGTCTTTTTATATTAATTTCTCCATTTATTAAATGAGTAAGGTATGTTCTAAAAAAGTGTGGGAACAAAATTTTTGTTTTGATAATTTGAAAGTTAAACAAATAAGAAAGTCAATTAGTATGGTTGATAGGACCATCATGTTTAGTTTAATTTTTTTTAGGATGACCGGCAAAATTAGAAGCAACGATTAATTGTCCAAACTAACATCAAATGTTATAACCTTTTTGGGCAATAATGTACTTACAAAATCTAAGAAATAATTATTGTCGTAAATTATTCGATACAAAAATGAGGAGGATAATCTCATTTATGATTTATTTATTTCAATAAACGATCAGCATTTAGAAATTGTACAGTAAGTCATCTATTAAAATTAAGTTTTTGGGAAGGTTTCTTTTTTATTTTCATCAAATTTTCTATTCTTTCTTAGAAACGAATCATTCCTCTTTGATAAATGTGAGAGCTTTTCAGAAGCAGTAAGAGGATAAAAAAATAAAATAAATTTTGCCCATTCGAATATTTGATTTTCATAATTTGAACTTCGAAAAGTAGCGAATAAATTTTCTAAATAAATAAAATTAAAAAAAAAATTTGATATTTCAATGTGAACTATTTAATTACTACTTAACGTTAGTTAATACACTATCACAAGTTTGACAAGTTTGCATCAATTTGTTCGATCTCTCAATTTA